GCAGCCCGATCAGACCGCCACCGGCGGTTCTTCTGTACCCTCCAATAACGAGCAGTCGACGCCTTCGCGTGGTTCGTCCGTCCAGTCTGCCACACTGTCTCCTTATCTTCACATGTTTTTACTTTCGGATGCGTCTCTCCTGGCAATGGACGTTGTTCTCGACTCGAATGGCGACGTATTCACCATCTCGGGAACGGAAGAGAGTGTTGCACGTGCTGTGGAGGTTGCCAACAAGATAGTACATGAATGCGGCGCCTATTCCCCAATCAAAGTCCCTATATCGGCGCTGCATGTATCTTGGTTCAATGATAACGTCGCCCGTGCTATATTCATGGCGTCGAGATGTTTCGTCAGCTTGGTAGACGGGGACACTGAGGTAGCGGTGTTGGGGAGGCCCGAACACCTGGGCAAGGCCGTAGAGATGATCCTTCGCATGAGTGACATGACCGAGGTAAGGGTCTTCTGTCGCACTACTCCGGCATTTCGTTCCTGACAGGCGCTCATCGTAGGAACAACCACATTCTGATTCACGCACATCTCACGCACCTGCAGGTGCTACGTCTACGCCAAGTGGCGCCGCCCATAATCCTACCGCAACCGGCATCGGCGTTCAGAAGTCTCCCGAAGAGGACGTCGATATGGACGAAACAGATGTGCAGTATAGTCAGTTCCCTTCCTTGACGGGATCTCTTGCACGTTTACTGAGTACAATATTGAAGATTCGGATCCTTTCGACGATGCTCGCTCCGCTCACGAGACGAGGACGGGACAACCTCCCGACAATGGATCTTCCTCTCGTACCCATACCCGTGCGTCTACGCCACCGATAGTCAACGAATCTACCCATCGTGCACCTGCCGCCAATGTGGGATCCGCCGCGCCCTCTCTGCACCCTCGTCCACAAGCCCCATCCACCCCGGTCGGGGCTCAAGTACAAGATGAACTGACCAAGATGATGTTGAAATCTCTCAATATCGCTTCACCGAAGCCGTCTCCCGAATCCCGAGGCAAAGATAGAAACAATTTTGTTGTGCGTCTGTTTCCGAGTCTTGAGCGCGAGCGAACATCTGTCTCAACGGTCCCGATAGGGTCAACTTCGAGCCATTGTGTCCAGACAACTAGACCGGCCCGATTCGAATGCTCCGTATCCGGTCAAGAAGATTCCATCAGCCAAGGAGGTGGATGCGTTTGAGCGATACGCCGTTGGCGGTCCTTCTCACGACGACTGGACCGTCGACTTCAACTCCACGTTCACGAAGTCTAACTGGAATCAAACTGCGGCGCTCCTTCTCGTAGAGAAGGCTGTGAACGAAGGCGTCATCGACGACGACGACGATCTTGGTAAGGCCGAGGTGGTGAAATGGTTCCATCAACATCACGATTATACGCTCAGGCGAACCTACGAGGCTCTCAATCTCCATAATGGTGTGGCTCGTGCGAGGAATGTCGTTAGAGCGGGGGCCGATCAACGCCATCTCACTGTATGTTCGAAGTTGGCGTCCTACTCATGCCGTGCATATACTGAAATTCGCAATAGCTCGGCCAAGGGCGTATCAAGGTCTGCGTTGTTTACCCCGAGCTTGCAGAGATAGGAGAAGTAATCGACCGTTCCGGCGCGAGATCTGATCTTAATAGTGACGACAAAGGGAAGCCTGTAGCTGACAGTGTGCAGTATTTCACAGAGTTCAAGATATGGCGGTCGGATCCGGCTACTAAGGCCTTGCGCTTACTTGACCTCCTACGGAAGGGGCTCCAGTTCCCCGAAGACGACGATGGCTTCCGCCGGAGGGCTCCAGGAAGCTGGTTCCGCGAGCGTATCTATACGCAGATCGATATCGAGAACGAGCTGCAGAACCCTCGCCCCCGTGGACCCCCCGCATTGCGTGGCTTGCCTCGTAACTGGTATCGTCCAGCATGGCTCGCGTTGCAAACGCCCCAGAAGTTGGAATGGTTAGATATTCAGCCCGATGTCTCCCTTAAGATTCCAATGGATCTCAAAGTGTACGTTCCCGTTTTCATCTTATAGTGCATCTGCTGAAGACATCTTTTAGCCGTGCTGCTAGGGTCTTGGGTATTCTGCGACACTCTGAGGGTGGGCGAGTCTCTGCAGATTGGAGAAACCTCCGCATCAGCGGGGCTGAGCTCCAGATGTTGGATGATTATCTCCTGACTGGCAAACGCCCTTCTGCGCAATACGGGTCTGTCTAATACTAAATGAAACGTTTCCGTATACTGTCTAGTATTTAACATATCATACTGTAGCACGTACCGCTTCCGTTGACAGCAATATACTACATTGTGCAAAGAAATCGTCGCGTGATTCACAGTGCGATTTGTCGTTACATGACTACTAGGCGCTATTCCATCGCAGCTCCACTCATGCGGTAAGATATGAAGAGATATAAATGATGCGGTAACTGTGGGTTTGTACGGGACTAAACTCAGTGCTGCTTTGAGACTACGGCTCATGGTGAATGTCCGTTAGCACGTCTCGGCATCTCACGTGATCGCGTTTCGGCGTTAGCCGTTGTTAGATATGGCCGGGCCGTCGCAGTTCACGAGCGTCGCGCTGCACCACGTCGTGCGCAGAAGATCTGCGGCCTCTGCCTACGGCTCCCCTGGCTTTCACAAAGACCTGTCGTATCTCTGAGGGTCGCCTGGCCGCGCGTATCAGAGGCACCCTGCGTGGCTCCTTCGCCTCATGGCGTCGCGCAGTAAACTCTCGCCTCGAGGCGGCTGTCTGCAACAAAGCAAGTAGCGCGTGGGTTCACTGGGCACGGCTGATCCCTCAACCTTGTCGTGAAGCGTCTTTTGGACCGTCTCGTGCCTCCGCGCTACCTCTCAGCTAGGGCTTGCGCTGATCATTGCGCATCTGGTCGGGCGCTGACTTCTACCGTCTTCTCCGTGGTCCGGTGTGCGTCTCGTGGGCGCGCCCTTTGTTCAACCAATACACGCATTACGGTACCAACGGCCTCTTGCATCATGCAGACATCCAGCGCAATGGCTAGCGCAACTGCGGGCAACCTCCAGCCGCTACATATTCCTTGACATGATTCTCTCATTTAAACCCGCACGCGAGTGTCGCTCCATATCACCCCTCAACCCTCTCTTCGCCCAGTTCCCGACTGCGCTATAATCTCGCATACGCATTCTTCTCAAGACTGTATCGCCATGGCCGACGACCCCGCTAACTGGTTGCACCGACTGGGTCGCCTCGTACCTACCAGCACAACCGAGTTTGCCGCTGGATATACCGATGGAGTCGACCTCTACGCACATGTATACTACATTGGGCGTGGTCCTGGCGCAAATGTCAAAGTTCATCTCTCCAAAAGAGCAACTGGTCTGTACATTCATCATCCTGCGACGTCCGCCCCATCTCAACGTTGACGCGCCGCTAGGTCTAATCCATGCCATCATTCGGTGGAGCGAAGATATGCAAGCCTTCACCATCGAGGACCACGGTTCGATGAACGGGACATACGTACGTCGCATCGATCTCCTGCTAAGCTGCTACGTATACTAATCATGCGCTCTAGGTCAAAGGGAGGAAAATTGAAGCTCCCGTTGCTCTCGAGAACAGAACCGCTATATCACTGGGACCACCCAACGCCAATAACTGCGGTCAGTTTGCGATTTGTCCTTTCGCTTTTACCTTTTGCTGATCGTACGGCGCAGGTTTCACCTTCTACGGTCTTGAGGCACTCGATGACATCGTTCGCAAATATATCACGGAGTACACTATCGGCGCGGGCTCGTTCGGTAGGGTTTATCAAGTCAGGCTGCGCGCCGACCCGAGCAGGGTCTATGCAGTCAAGGTGACGCGCTACTGCACGGACGAAGAAGAGTGGAGTGGGTTGTATTCTCAACAGCAAGCTCTGGATGAGGCGCATGCCCTACGCATTGCTGGCGATCACCCGAACGTTTGCTCTTTCGTTGAATACTTCGTGCTTCCAGCGCGAGCGACCGTCTGTGCGTTGACATTATCACCAACGTCGTTGATCTGTCCTGACTCTGCGCTAGGTATTGTCACACCTCGTTATTCCACGGACCTCTTCACGCGTTACCAGAACTGCCGCCCAAGTGGGTCGATCTCTTACTAATGCTATCACCGTACTCAACATGTATCCGTTTCAGCTCTTGCGGAGGGTCAGTCCATCATGTGGCAGGTGCTGACAGGCCTGGCGCATATCCACGGTCTTAACATCGTCCATCAGGACCTCAAGCCCTCGGTGAGTTCCTTGCCGCTTCTCTCGCTGTAGATGCTCATAGAGTCTTAGAACATTTTCGTGGAAGGGAACCAGGTTCTCATTGGGGACTTTGGGCTCGTAGCCGCTCCCGTAAGTTCGCTCCTTGCACCTCAAACCTGATTTACTAACGTACTCCGCTATATAGGAGAACTGCAACGGTGCGGGTACAGTCTGGTATACTGCTCCTGAAGGTATACGGAAGATGAAACTCCGAAACCCCACCGGGCTCGACGACTTCAGCGCCGGTGTCAACGGCTTCCATCTGTGCGTCCTTCTTCTTGCGGCAGCGAACCAGTGCGCTTCACTAACTCTCCGCCCGGTTAGGTTCATGGGTAATCTGTTCAAGAGTCCGTGGGACATCGCGGGCCCGGCCGAAAACACGGTAGAGTCCCTTCTGGAGTGGGTTAATGTGCGCTGTATCCGACTTGTCCCCTTATACGAGGCCAACCTTCCCAACGACGGTGAGACACCTATACACTCTCATCATTTCGATGACTCAACGCCCAATGAAGCGCTCGACGTCCTCATCGGTCTTTCGAATCCCGACCCGGACAAGCGCTGGAATGTCAAACGCGCCTTGGAGTCACCCTGGATCGCGGCCGGGCGGGATGTCTTCATGGACGCCATCGAGAACGATACTCAGCCGACTGCTCCATACGCTCATATTGAAGAAGGCAAGTCTATCTCATGTTGCATCAGACGGGGCATCGGCTGATATAGGGTTTTATAGAGCCGGCCTCGCCGACACTCGCTCCTGTTGGAGACGTTGCTCAGAGGGCGCCGAGTCCGCTCACCCCTATTTCGGACGTTGCACAGCGGGCTTCGAGTCCGCTCACCCCCATCGAAGACGTCGTACAGAGGGTGCCGGTCTCCTCGAAGCCGAAGAAGGCAGCTGGGAAGGGTAGGAGGGCGTCCGTGACGGCGAAGGCGGGAGTTCTCGTCAAGGCCGTCGTTAAGCGACGCAACCAACCGGGCACGAATACCAGGGCGTGGATGGAAGAGGAGCGCCAAGCCCGAGTTGGGCGGCTGAGGAAGCGTACTAATGGCCGTGTCGTCCGTGCTGCGTAGAATGTCGATTAGCTCATGACCGTTCTTTGTATCATACGTCTGAATTTCCGAACTGCTTGTATATGAATGCATGAACTACTTGTCTTTACTCTGCGGCTCAATCTTCATCCGGAACCCCATACAGGATTTCCTACACCTTGGGTGCGTGGATCTCTTTGCTACTAGGCGAACCAAGAGTCATACGATCATGATCACCCGAGCGTGATGATTCCCGCAAGAGCTAGTGTTTGTTCCATTATCGCTGTGAGTCAAATCCAGTATCAGCTCAGTCGAAAGCACGAAGTGAGGGGAAGTAAGAAGGTATAGTAAGAGAAACTGCCGGACTACGCAACACCACGTCCGGTTCACATTTGGGTGACACGTAGATGAGATACAGCGCGTAAACGGTGACTACGGGAGGCGCTCGAGCATAAAGTGAATGGTAGGGCTCCACACCCCGGGTATGTCATGCACACGAGTCGCTCTGAAACGGTGGTGCTACGCTTTTGTCCTTCAGGATGAGGCATACAGCTCCTCAATGGAATCGTGCCCAGGGCTGCTGGACATCGTGACCGGCCCTCCGGGGAACGTCACCGCCGACGACCCAGGGATTGGCCCCGTGGATGGTACTTTCGAGGGTTCGAGGCTTTGCAGGGCCTCCTGCAAGAGCCACCCATATGACTCGCCCTTGCGTACCGGATCGCTCTCTTCGCACGCGACAAGGATATTCACCAGAGTGTCGACGTCTACCGGTGAGCGTTCATTGGCACCAAACACTTTTGTCAATGACGGAGGAAGGAACTTGCCACATGGTCTCTCGAAAGCAATAGCGGCAAGACTCCGGTCACTCAGTACATCAGCTTCGCGAGTTACATCGAAGCTATCATCTTCGTAGAGTTGCTGGAAAACCTAGTATACAGGTCTGTCACCCTGTTCGGTTGCGCGTGATTCAGACCTTACCGTGCGACGAGCCTCCCGCAGAGCCAGCACCGTTACAGAAAGCTGTAGGGGAACATCGGGCGATGTTATCCAATCCAGGTCGCCGTGAAGTCGGCCGCTCGACGTGGGAGGCGTGTTGCTCACAATTGGGCGTACAACAGCGCGCCTGTTATCCTCTTCACTAGAGCACAAATTGATAACCGCGTTCTCGCTCTGCGGAACGTAGCTTTGCCCCGCCTCTTGGTGGGTCGATATGACAGCCCCTCGACCTGTAAGTACAGTCACGTCGGACAGATCACCGTCAGGCTCGTATTTGGCTTCCTCCTTGATGTGGGGTCGTGCGGGTGTGCGAAATGTCGTCGGCCTAAGATGCCTAGGTCGGGCTTTAGCTGGGCGGGGCTGGCGCTGGCGCTGAGAGCTCATCTCCGCCGTACGAGCCCGTTTTCGGGCCGGTCCTATTCTGGACAAGTTCCCATCACTCTCAGAAGCCTTCCTATGCAATGCTACCGCAGACGAGCTTGAGTCGGGTCTCTGAGGCTGAGACTGTGAGTGCAAAGCCAGGCGCTCGGGCTGCTTGCCGCGCGCTTTCGCACTGAGCGCGACAGGTCTGACCTGACGCGAAAAGTCCTCTTCCTCGTCGCTATCCACGTCGGCTTCGTATCCCTGTCGCACAGAAAGTTGCCTGGCTTTGTCATCTTCGACCCGTGAATGATATAGTATGACTCGCCGGCCATTCAAGGTGTCCGAGAGTAACCCGTCGTCGAAACTACGGAAGCCGGGCTGTGGCGCAAAGCCGAAAGGGTAAACACTTCCGCACCAGGTCGAGTCGCCATCTGTACTTTACCTGAAACGTCAGAGATTGACACCAATCTTGCAATCGTTCTCCCTCTTTTGAGCGGGGAGTTCCACGCAGAACATCGTGAGAAAGCAGGGCGTTGAAGACAGTCTCAACCAAGGAGGTGTTTGCCGCGCTAGATTGTCCTGGTTGACCTCCTGCACCATTTGAAATACATGTTTGTAAGCTTCTGCGCAGTATCTCGACGGCATGCCTGTATCCATGCGGCCGGAATGATGGAGCAGCGAACATCTGTAGACAATGACGAGCGAGTTCCGTCACGTCGTGCTGCTGCATGGCGTGCCCGTCGGTGCAGTTGTCGCATTTTGTGCCGCATGGGGCCAACTCTGACAAGGGCGTTCCAAAGTAAGCCAAGAGCTGCATGTGTCGGCACGTCGTAGCGGTGTAGACGTAGTGTACCATGGACATGATCCTATCTGCAGCTGCTTCGCGCACAGGAAGCGCCTTCTTGTCAGTATAAAAGAGCGCCCGTTGGGTATCCTGCCAGGAGTACACTTGCAATTGTCAGCCGTTACATATCGAATGCAGATATGGGCTCCAAGCAATGAAGAGTACTCACATAAAAGACAATGTGCGGCCAGTCCGTCGCGGCCCGCACGTCCAATCTCTTGGGAATAGCTATAGCGTATGTTAGACCACAGCAGGGCGAAGTGCTCAAAACATACCTTTCAATTGAGCGAGGAACATCGTAATGGATCACGAATCTGACGCCGGATCTATCAATACCCATCCCAAACGACAGCTGTCACGGTTCATCGACTCTATAAGTTTTACACAAAAGCCAATTAGCAGAGAAGTGTACGCACTGTAGCAACGAGCACCTTGGTTTCCCCCGCCATCCACCGCTCCAGTGTACTCAGGCGAGTCTCCTTACTCATTCCTTTGAGCGCATTCTTCGCTCCTTGCTTCTCCCCATAGATAGGCAGAGCGTACGAAGAGCCGTGCTCCAGGTTGAGTGCGGCGACTACTGCATCGCAGTGATCGGACGTGGAGCAGTAGATCAAGCCAGATTCGGACGCGAGGCCGTGTCTCGAGGTGAAGTCGCTGACTGCCTTCATCTTCGGCTTATGCCGAAACGAGTGGAGATGCTGGACAGAGTAGTGCAGGTTGGGGCGATCCAAAGACCCGGCTAGCACACGGCAAGTAGAAGCCGGGATGGATAGGTGGGAGAGAAGTTCATCGCGGTCGCCGTTTGTGAGCGTAGCAGTAGCTATCGTGATCGGCACCTGAGGGTATCTCACCCTGAGTGACTTGAGATCTGTCTGATTCTATATGAGGCTCAGGGACGTAGAGAGACGATAGCTCAGCTCACCATCGATGACTTGAAATCAGACCAATGCACCACGGTATGTCCCTCGTCCAGCACAAAACGTGCCAGTCCTTTCTCCGCATGAAGACCGGAGAAGACGTGGGAGTATGAACCACAAAAAGTGTCTGCCGTTGTGTATATGAGCGTCGGGCGATACCCTCGTCGGATGCGTCCGACTAATGCATCCCTTTCGACATGGGAGGTGAGGCTGGAGAAAACCTCTACGCATATACCCCTGGCCCTCAAAGTTTGGGTTTGACGAGCTATTACATCGAGAGTTGGAAGGAGAACCACTGTGACTCGATCGTGCTGCTGAGAGTGTATCAGAGCCGGCACCTGAAAGCATAAGGATTTTCCAGCGCCCGTCGCCAAACTGAGAATGATATCATCATCTTTAAGCGCATGCGCGATGGCCAACGCCTGTAGATCCCGCAGGGCGGGGGGGTCACCGAATCCGAGCTTGACAAGGGACGCCTGGATTGTGTCCTCATATATATCGAGGTACTGGTCCGCATCGATGGATGGTAAGCGAGAGGGTTGCGGTTTCAAAGACTGCAGTAATTGACGAGAACATCGAGCAAGCGGCGATGTCGGGAGCGTAGTAGATGAGGCTCGTGGTTTAGGATGAGACATTTTGATTTAGATTGTATCCCCTGATGAGTGCTAGAGTGAACGTTGACAGACGTCGGCGAACCTGAACGATCCGCTGATCCGTCCATCGTGGCAAACACGTGTGTCACGCGTGATCCTCTGCTCAACTTGCCTCCTGCCACTTACAAGATTCCAACGCCCCATACGCGTAGTTGAGGGCGTTCTGGATCAGTAGATGTGTAGTATCTGACTATGAAATACCTATCAAACTGTCTGTCTGGGAAATGCGTGACAAGCCCTGGTCCTGGAGATGTCACTCGAGAGTGCCGCTGTCACACAGCGTCGAATGCAAGACCGATCTTCGACCTTTACCGCGTTCATGGCTTCTTGAGGCGTCTGAGCTCAATGTCTGAGTTTGGTCACGAGTTGCTTGCGCCTGATGGTGCGAATAGCTGAGGTGGGATCCGCGGGTTAGACGCGGGGCGTGAGCGAGCTCCTCGCTTCGTCGAGGATCGATTAGGTTCGGAATAAACCTCTGATGCGCCTCCACTCGTGTAGGATCTTGTGGCGAGACTAGAGAGTTGGTTGTATATCCTCTCAGTGTAGGGGCCTACCCTAGTAGAATGTAGTATCGGGGTTCCCCTGGTCATCTGACGCGAGCAGCCAATAGCGCGTTCAAGGTCTGGCGCGTCCAAGATCAAGGACGCGTGCCGTAGTGCATCCGTAGTGCATCCACTTCCACCGCTGGGTGTGAAGACAGGTACCCTTTCTCGTTGCCGCATGCAGATTCTTGAAGGCGCGACGTAGACAGGGGCCATCATACTCGTCCACTACGATCAAGGTCAGGAATGACTTCAAGCGCCACACACGATCGTCGAATTGGCTACGGTTTAGCTATTTCTAGCTTGATAGAATAGCGAAGAAGATGGAATTGGCGCAAAAGTGTGAGCGGAGGTAAGTACATGATAGGACT